CTGAGATGATTATACTGCTTATTTCTCTCAGTTTTTTGAAAGTAGCAGTTAATATTTAAGCTTTTACTTTGACTAACTCTAGATGCTACTATCCGTAATCTGAGCAACTATATGAAGGACAGCAACGTGCAATAACATGCAATATAACAAGCACAGTCGAATACCTCTCATCTTGTACTTCTTTTTTTAAACTGGGGAAATAAAGTATATATTTAGAATTAACCAGCTGGACTCAGTTTAGATGATCCCTATTTTGCTGGCAACATCCAATGCATCATAATCGGGAGCCAGCTGAAAATATGCCTTCTTCTTTCCATCAGGCCTGCTTAAGGTATTGACTTGGCAACATTGGTGTCATAGAGCTTCTTCACAGCTTGTTTGATCTCGTGCTTATTGGCTTTGACATCCACAATGAACACAAGTGTTTTGTTGTCCTTGGTGTTTTTCATGTGGCTGACTCTGTGGTCAGGGAGAACTGATGATGGCATAGTGGTCAAGCTTGTTTCTCCTGGGGTGCCCTTCGGAGGGTATTTGGGCTGCCTCTGGAGCTGCAGTGTCTTGGGACAGCGGAAGGTGGGTGACATTCGTATCTTCTTCTATATTTGCCTGTGGATGCACTTCAGCACGGCCTTGTGGCCTACAAAGCTATTGGTTGGCTTCAGGTTTGGGAGGGGCAGGGGCTTCCTGCTTGGCCTTTGGTGCCATCTTTGTAAAAAGCCTCATCTTGTACTTTTAAGTGCATAACATCTCTACCATCTGATCTATTATTATGATTGTCTCTTTAAAATGAATTACGGGGTCTGGGAGATGGCTCAGTAGAATAAGCACTTGCCTGGCAAGCTCAAGGACCTGAGTTCAATCCCCGGTTCCACAAAAAAAAAAGTTTTGGGGCCTGGGAGATGGTTCAGTGGAATAAGCGCTTCCCTGGAAAGTGCAAGGGCCTGAGTTCAATTCCTGGCTCCACAGAAAAAAATAAAATAATATAAAAAATAAGCAAAAAGGAGAAGTAAAACATTAAGGTTCATCAAATGGAAGAGTTAACGTTTAATTGTTTGATCAACCTTATATAGCTACATCTGGTAATCTGAGCAATAAATTTGATAACACACAATAAATTGTGAATTATGTATTCTTGATTAGAAATTCTATACCATTTCTATTGTTTTATGTTGCTTTATTTCTGAATTTCTTCCTGTTTTTCCTCATTAAAATAAAGTGTTAGGGCTGCACAGGTAGCTCAGTGTATTACAGCACCTGCTTAGGCAGACACAAAAACTCAGGTTCAGTCCCTGGTGTGCAGTGCTGGACCCACCCCTGCGGTGACCTAAGACCTTGATTGAGACTGGGCTTGGTAGTGTGCACCTGTAAGCGCAGCGCTTGGGAGGCTGAAAACAGGAGAATCACTATCAGACCAATCTCTGTAGTTAGACTGTGTAGACCCAGAACTAAATACAAAAATAAATATATAAATTAATTAATTATAATACAGCTAAATTTTAAAAATTTCATAAAATAAAGTCGAGCAGAAGGCATGGACGTATGCAACAGAAACTGCTCCAAGGAAATGAGAAGGCTCAGACAGGTGTGTCCTTTGGGACCACTGGATCCACTCTCTTATGGAATCCAAGAAAAACGTTTTCTTTTCTCCACATACCTGCCCATGTCCCTTCTCTCTATCCTTAATAAATTCAAGTTATCCTTTGATGACTTTGCTAATCAATGAAAGACATCAGTGCACATTTCCCCAAAGCCGTTAGAAAGCAAGCCAGTAACTAAGGACCACTGTGTGATTTGAGGCGCTTTCTTTTCCTTATGAACAATACACACAAGGAAAGGACCATGGGCTTATATTGTTTCCTGATGGTAGAGGTTGTTGCAGGGAGCAAGACATCCAGCCATCTCTGTAATGCTTTGAGACAGGCTCCCACTAAGTTCCCACAGTGGGCTCCAGCTTGTGATCCTCAGGGCTCAGCCTCCCCGAGCACTAGGAGGAGATGCAGGCACCACCGCGCTGCACAGGAAATACACAGCTCGGAGGTAGGCAGGTTTCCCTCACCTTTTCACTTCTCTTTCATTACAAATGCCGGTCCTCATGCCACAGGAAGCCATGAAATTAACCTAGCAAGTGGGAACAACTGTGCAGGCTTTCTTCCCTCACCTAGGCCTGGAGCAGTTCTCTGTAGCTTCTTTTGGCCTTTGAGTAACAAGGAGGAGTTTGCCAAACATGGGGTCCTGCACACAGCACATTGATCTTTTGAAGTCTTGGCTTCTTTCCTGAGAGGCGTTTGTTTCCCTTTTAATGTCTACCGGACCACGGCGATGGGAAGATTGCTGATGGTTGCGCAGTTCCCTACCCAGCTACTTAACAGCTGCCTGGAATAGCTTTCCAGGATTCTCTTCATCCCTGCTAGGAGGAAGAGCACAGGTGCTGAGCCACGATAAATGCTCCCCTCTGGGATCATCACACCTAACATTCTGTCCTCTGACACAGGACTGCATAGAACATCTGGGAAGTCTCATGTGACCGTGGTCATGACAAGGTTTGCGTTCTGGTTCCTCGTGTTCAGGGAGCTCCTCTAATGCAGTGACTCCCTGGAGGAGAACCCAGGGTGAAGGCACGGATGGGATGCTGGGGAGAGGCGGGAGCAGCAGCATTTGCAAGGCCTCGCAGGACATTCTGACGTGGCTGCGACGCCCCACACACACATGAAAGGAAAGCAGTGCAGGCAGCTTTCACTGTGACAGGCACGTCCAAGTTCTCCTTAAGGAGAAATCATGGCATTCAGGGCCCTGTCATTCAGTGAACACTCAGTTCTCAGGTTAGGAAGTGGTTATCAGGATTCAGGACACGCAGCTCGATATGCCTGTGTACTTAACCATTTGACGGAACTATAATCTACAGAAAGCATAACTCATGCATCTAAAGGGTACAGGATAATGGCCTTCACTGTGTTCACCCTCTTGTGCAGCCATTGCCACCTTCACTTTCAGAAGACTTTCCTCACTGAAAAAGGACTGGGTGACTTGGGATGAGGGAAGCTGCTCAGCGAGAATGTTCCAAGCTGGAAAGGCTCAACACCTGACAGGTGGAGGACTCCTCAGCTGCACAGCTTGAGTCCTAGTGGAGTATGGAAGGCACCAACTTATGCCATGGAAAGTTGTACCACCCTCCAAATGATTGTAGTTTACCGCAAAACAGCTACTGGTGAGACTCTTCCGTGAACAAGCCACAGAATAGGTAAATTGAGGAGCAAAATGAAACCCAGAGAGCAGAACACGGGGGACTGACATGCAAAGGCTCCAGAGGCCTGGAGTTGGAGGGAGGATTGCAGGCTGGGGAGGGGAAGGATTAAGACATGGGTGCAGATGCGCTGTGTGCGTGCGCCTGCTCCCGAGATGAATGCCCTCACATGAGCTGCAGACGTGGACTGAGGCGAGATAGTTTGGACACTAAAAGAGGGCCTCAGCGATCTAATTTGCTTTGCATATTCTCACAACTATCATATGTCACATGTCACCCTGGCGATACTTTTCTTGCAATGCAGTGTCGGAATGGCGGGTACAGGGGTGTTCTCACTGTTGCTGGAGAGAGCACATGCAGCTTTCCCCATGCAGATTAGCAATGAAGGTGAGGAGAACAAAAGCGTTCATGTCTTGTGAGCACCCGCACTACATGAAAAACACAGAGTCCTCACTGCCCAGGCCTGGCCTCCTCCCACACTCTCCCTCTCCAGCCCTTCGCTGCACTCTCACAAGCAGCCCCTTCTGCTAGGCTTGGCTGATCCTGTCAGAGCAACCAGACTGGTTCACTTAGCTGACTCTCCTGCGGTTCTCAAGATGCCCTAGAGAGACATCGGGATCACTTGGGCACATGGACCTTGACATTTTTCTTTAATATTCAGTATTTACTCAGTGCATAAGAAAAGCATCAAAATTGTCAGCATTGAGAAGCCATCTCCACCTTGGTACCATGGCAGCCTTCAAACACCTCGTGACGCCCAAGATTATAAAAAAGAGGACCAAGAAGTTCATCTGGCACCAGGTAGAAAGAAATGTCAAAATTAAGCACAACTGAGACCCAGTCCTAGTCCCGGTCGGGCGAGTGTGTGGGAGAGCTGCCTGCTACACTGAGCCTGCGGGACCAGTCCCAGCCCAGGCGCAGCATGGGCCAGATCCTCTCCCACCCCCTTGGGATGCCCCCCACCACTCGGACGCACCTGCCCCAACCCGCCTGACAAGTAGGAATTTCTGCTGCTTTCGGGGAACCCCCAGACCCAGTCTAGCCCAGGTCCGGTGAGTGTGTGGGAGAGCTTCCTGATACCCTGCACCAGCTGGACCAAATACCGGTCCCAGCCCAGGCGCGGTGTGGGCGAGACACTCTCCCACCCACTTGGGACGCCACCCACCACTCCGTAGCACCTCCCCCACCCTGCCCACCGAGTAGGAATTTCTGCCGCGTTCCGGGAACCCCTAGACCCAGTCCTAGCCCAGACCCTGTGAGTGTGAGGGAGAGCTTCCTCTCCCCCAAACTCCACCTTGCCCCCTCCAGGCACAGTTCAGGCCTGGCATACATGCCTGGGGTGTAACCTGGCAGCTGCAATCCCTGAAGAGAGTGTAGAGGATAGATCCACCCAGCTAGTCCAGGAGCAGAACATCTTGCCACAGGGGCACAACAGGTTCACCCTCAAGGGCAGCAGCAGGAAGGAGCTGAGCACAGCA